TTCTCCATCTGAAACTGAATATATCCATTCAGATCTGTTAAATGTAATACTAAAAATATATAGCAAACTGTAGAAGAAAAACCATAGGATTTGAACTCAGAGATTCAGATTCTTGTTGAAGATATCCTCAAGATGAATGATCTTTGCCGTTTATTAATTTCTGTGAAATGGGATTTTCTTATTTGTGAAATGAAAAAGTTGAACTAAATTAGTGTTTTTTTTTTAATGTTTGGGTAGTGAACCCTTATTTCAAATAATTTCTTCTTTTTTGGGGGGGGGTACTGGGGATTGAATTTGGGACTTTTCACTTGTGAGGCAGGCAGTGGAACCACTGAGCTAAATCACTAGCCCAAATAATTTCTATTTCTATTAAAAATACATTACATTGTAAATAGTTTATGTATCATATGAGTCCTCAGTAACTCAGAAGAAACTTTTGAAAGCTCTTAAATCACATTTTCTTTAAGTTACATAGTTTACAAATTATTGGTATGGAAGTCATGTGTTTTAGAAAATGGAGGTGATAACAATTTATTTTAAGAATGAGATATAAACCCAACTATTTGTTATATATTGACTTTATGTTCATATATCTTATTGAGTGCTATTATTACTTATTAATTCTCTCATTTTTTTTACACCATCATTCCTGTAAACTAATATCAATTTTTCTTTTTCCTCTTTTTAGTGTTTTAACCTATTGTTTCCTTTTTTGTTTTGCTGACCATAAAAATGTTCAATAGTACTTACAGTAGTATATGTCTCTGTTTTATTTCTGGATTTTTAATGTTACACCTTTCGATATCTTTCTGAAAATTTTGTTAAAAGTAATATCTGTTCGTAGCTTGCAAAATTCTGTATTTAAAAAATTTCCAATAAGTGTCGAATTTAAGTAAAAAGAACAGGCTAAAAATATATGCAATATTGCCATCATAATGTAAAGGCAAATGATTTTTGTTTTTGTTTATTTATTTATTTTTTTTTGGTTCTGGGGATTGAACTTGGGTCCTTGCACTTGAGAGGCTGGAGGTAGAACCACTGAGCTAAAACCCCAGCCTCTAAGGCAAAAGATTTTTAAAAGGAAAAACTTGCTTTGATGTGGTGTTTTATGTACTCATTAGTAGAAAATGAAAAAGTAGTTACAATAGGAAATGCGCCCTGTGTCCTCTCCTTGAAATCAGGAGGAAGAGAGACTGAGAAGTGAATGCATGTATTGTTCATGGTGACTCTTCATTCAAGAGGTGGTATGTTCAGTCTGTCAGAATATCTTGGTTGTCACATTGCTTCCAAACTAAAAGGTAGAAATGTGATCTGCTTTTTGGGTGCTTTTTTAAAAAATATATGCCTTCTGTTTTATTTTATATTCTGTGCCCAATGTTTGTTGAAAAATGAATTCTTCCCAGAGAATCTAAGGAGAGGGAAGCCCAGTCTTTTACCAAAAACAGAACAACTGCCCCCGCCGCAAACATAAAAGACAAAATCACATCAAGTTTCAAGTTAAACTAGTCATTGAAATTAACTGTGAATAAAAAATAACTATAAACTATCAGAAGATCACCTCAATATTATCAAATTATGGCACGTGGGTAGGGATGCTGGAAATGTATTCTGGGAACTTATCCAGGTTGTTCCGATGGTGATCCTTGCTTGGGATCAACTGATCCCAAGCTTCCTACCCAGATTATCCCTATTTGTGGCAATAAACACCTGAGGAAAAAAATTCTCTGGAACCAATGGATTTCCCTCTTCAAACTATGAAGCTTCCAATAATATAAATATTATATCCTAGTAACAAGTTATTGAAAATGTCAGATGCTAAACAATCATCAGGCTGCCCTCTCACCAGGACTCCCCCACTTGCCTATGATTTATAAACTTTCCCCTTTCCTCTGTTCCTACCATAAATGGCTGATCCAGGAATAGATTTCTTACACAAAGTGAGACAGTCAAATCTGTCTCTTTGGGAAAATGGAAATTTGAAAGGAATTACTTCATAACTGGGGCTCAGGGGGACTGAATCGTGTGGGTTCACAACTCCAAGAGGGGACCAGGGATTCTGCAAGAGGATCTTGAGATAACTTAAGAGTTTATTCCTCCCCAAGATTTAGAATTTATTCCTTCCTAAGATCTTGAGATGTCTTAACAGTTCCTTCTGTTCTGTAAGATGGCTCAGAAATCCTGAAGCAGGCTGTGTTTGCACAGGAGCTGGAGCTCTTCTGGAGTTTAAGGGAATAAAATGCTAAGGAATCTATCATATGCATGCACAATGATGCTAGATTTGTACCAGCCTTGAGACAGTTGAGAAACAGTACCCAAAACAGATGGAAAAGGGGGCAGGAGAAATACTGGGCTAGAGAATATGCATTTTTGTTTTTAGTATAGCTCCGAAAGATGGATTGAAGGTAGGTTATGGAAGGCTTGGTGCATAAGTTATATAGTGTTTATAATATAATTATTATATTTTCAATCCTCACTTTTCAAAATCCTGAAAATGCGGCACATCAGAGTGATTATATCCATTGTATTGAAGGCAATTCAGACTCTGTGACATTTACTTTTTTGTGGTCATGTTACCCTAAACCTACTTGGAGAACTGAACTCAAGAATTCTGGTTCCAGATTAGGAGATTGATCCACAGGAAAATACTGGAACTTGTTGATTGTTACTTCTGTACTTTTATTAAAGAAATAAGCATCACAAATTAATTCATATAAATTTATAGTAATATTAGTTTTCTTTAAAGATATTTTATTATTCTAGAAATTGCATTTATATGGGGAAAGATCTTAAAGATGGGGGCGGAAATAAACATACAATACTTTTGCTGATGCCTCAGAGTTCTTTGAAAGTGCTTTCTGGACTGAGGAAGATAAGAAATTAAAACAGAAAGCCTGTACTTGAATAGAACATATTTCCACATTTCTTTGTTTTTTTCTGACTTTTTACATCCTCACAGAATAGGAGGAGAATTAGGTCCAGAAGCCCTAGGTCGTCAAGGTTGCTAAGGGATGTTCAGTGTAAAAGCAGCATTGATCAGAAATCTTTAAAGATATTTCAACTCTAGCATGTTGCCTGTTTTTGTCAGCCGGAAATCAATATTTGGCACATGCTTCGGCTTAGTAAATGCTTATTGAATGAATTGATGAAACAGTGGATCGATAAATCAAGATTGTTATGGAGGTATCGAATTTTACAATGGAAAGAAATCCTGGAGGTCACTCAGTCCTGCTATGTCTCTTTGCCAGGAAAGAACATGTGGCCCAGGGAAGCTGAGGGGTGGCCAGTGCAGGGAGCTGACAAGTGGCAGTGCTCCTTTCTCATGATGCTTAGGCCAGTTCTTTTCCATGAAAGAAATGAAACAACTAAAAGCAAAATTGTCAAATTGTTTTGCAGATCGTCTAGGTTTCACCCTGTTGAAAAGGATACCCCATTAATCGAGATATATATTTTTCTTCCTTTGTTCCATTGTCAATATTTTTATCTCTTGTACTCATTGCTCATTGCTTTTCCTCATTGCCTGGCATTAATAACTTTAAAATGCTCCAAGTTTACTTAATCTTAATATATGGATGTGTGACAGCCCAGACCCTTACTTTTCATTGTCTGCTCACATCTAGGATCTAGCATGGTAGTTTTCAGTTATGACAGTGCATGGATGAATATGTTATTAGAAAGAATCATAAATGCAGTTGCATGAATCTCATTAAGTTGACTCACAAATAATAACAACTTGTTAGACTACACCAGGAGATATATACCCTTTAGGTGCATCTGGAAGAGTAATACTAAGTCTCCAGTTCTACAGAAAATTCTAGTGTGATAGTGCTGAAAGGTGAAACACACCAAGAATAAGAAATCAGAGATTATTTTTAATAATTTAAAAACTAGACTCAACTGGGCTGCATATTAAATAATATATTTGACAAACTAATCAGAACTCTCCACTCCCCTACTCCACAACCCACACCCCACAGAGAATTTTTCCAATCAAAAGATGCAAAATGATGGAGCTGGATATTTTTCTCTTAAAAGTGTGAGTATATCAATATATGTTCTCTTCAGCACTTAATGTGTCAGATGTAGTAGACACAAAAAATCCTTACAACTTTTAAGAGGCAGTCTAAATTTTAGCAATGCAGGAATCTTCTTAACAATAGTCCTCTTATACTTTGCACTAAATCACTGGAAGATCTCATTACGTTACCAGTTCTGCATCAGTAGGCTTGGTAAGGGCCCTGAATATCTTAATTTCTCAAAAGCCCCAAGTGTACCCTAGACCATAGTTTGAGCATCAGGTGACAAAGATCATGTTTTTAAAGCAGTGTCACTTTAACCAATGTTTTCCAAATCCCTACTAAGTTCTCCTCTTCTGTGCTTTTATCTTCAAAGACATAATTATTTATACCTATTTTAAAAATAAAATTCTTTAATTTAAAGCAGTTTACCAAATATCCAAAATATTTGAATAGAGTAAATGAACTCAGCTCCTTGCTCTTGCGAGGCAGGAGTGGAACCACTAAGCTAAATCCCCGACACTTGAATAGAGTAAATTATACATTTTTAAAAATGAAGGCAGTAACACTCTAATGCTGGGGAGAAAGACCTGCATTATAAATTGGCTGTTCTTCAGAATTTGATGAAATAGATAAATTGTCAGGGTATAATATCCTGCCCAAGTTGGTGAAAAGTTAATTTTCTACTTGAAGTTGTAATTCATATCATATTACATGAGTATTGTCTGTAAATATAGAATTCTATAAATCTGTTGTGGATAGAATTATATTCCCATAATTTGCTTCCTTATTAAGTAATTATTAACTGGCACCTCCAAAAATTCATAGGTTCCTAAGAGAATCGTTGTAAAACCCACCTTCACTAAGCTTTGTTTTCTCTCTGATTGAGTTAATGATCTCCAAGATGAAAGATGCTCTCTTCTGGTTTTCATAGATTCAATTGTTGAGACGTGAGCACTAGGAAGGCTCAAACACTGTCAAATTGTCCACCTGGTACATGCCAAAGTACTTGTCCATCACTTTCCTTTGTATCACATGATCTGCATAGAACTGTCCACAGCTCCACATAGGCATAGATTGGCTCTTTGGTTGTGAGCACCTCTGGTTATGTAAACAAACATAAATCAGTGTTGGCAAAATAGGTTTGGAAAATTATTGTAAATAGCTAGAGTTTTGGACTGTATCTTATTTTTTGGAAAAATACACTCAAGTTTAAGTTGCATTTAGCTTTTGGTCATGAATTAGAGGCTCAAATTATTGCAGTATCTGGGGATTAAGTAAGCCTAAATCTGGAGTCAAGAGGACAAATATTATATTTTGTTTTTCTCTCAGTTATGTGGCCATCATTTTGAATGTTGGATGATCACTCTGCTAAATAAGTGAAAACATTGGACTAAATAACATCTTAATAAATATTCCTTAACTTTCATATTTAATGATCTCAAGTATCAATCAAGAGTTTTCCTCTTCATTCAGTTGATTACGTGTAAGTTTGGCAGTTCTTTCTGGGTTGCCTCTCCCTCCCCACAAGTTTTTCCTACTTTGAAATAAATCTTTGAATGAATTTTATTTTTATAAAGAATGATTTCTAGATTTGAAACAATAGAAGTTAACATTTGAATTTACATAGGTTGAGTCATATTAAAAATCTAACAAAAAGCTTAAGTAGTTTCCATTAAAATAATATTTTTCTTACCATTGGTAGTACATTATTTTAATTCCTAAACAGAGTAATGACAAATAAAATGATACTATATTCTATTCACTTTTTTAGTGGCTGAGAATTTAACCTGGTATGAATTTAAATAAGCAAACATTTTTGTTTATCTAATTTTTTTTCTCTTATGTAGTCCGAGACTGCCAAGTTTATTATTTAATTTAATAATGTAAATATAAAGTGTGTACCTTTGTTTTGTCAAGAATACTGTAGGTGCAATATTCTTACTCATTTCACTTCTAAAATAGAACAGCAATTGAAACAGGTCTTTCACTCAAATGTTCTTCTTTTATGCATTTATGTTTTCATTTATTGATTTTAGAATCTAGTTTGTGTTGAACATAATCTTATACTCACATATTTATAGTGAAGCCTTAGAAACCTTTGTGATTTGGGTTAATATATGAAAGGCAGTGCAAGCAAGAGTCACAATGCAGGTCAGTTTTTTGGCACTGAAAAACAGCATGACATTCTCCATGCATGTGAGAACAGTGAGAGTTCTCCCTGTTCAAAGGCATCATTGTCTTTACAATACAAGGCAATTTATTTACATCTTGTTTTTGTGCTGAACTTCAGTGTATTTGGAAACTTTGGAACTGTACTGGCAAATTGAGATTATACACGATGTTAGGAAATAGGAGGGAGTCTTGTCCTGAGAAGCAATCGCTATATGAATCTGGGAAGTCATTCTGCCTCTCTATCTATAATTATTTCTTCTAACATAGAAATATGTAATTCTTGCTGTTGAAAGTAATCCATTTATTCAGTCTGTCAACCAGGGATTGAATACTTGCTACAGCACCCAATTAAATGGATCATTTATCTTCAGTCCTTTGTGGGATGAGAGATGTGTTTTTATAAGAAATGGAATGTTTGCTCTACGGATGACTCTCTAAGAAAATGTTCATTCTTTTAGGTTACATTTTCCCATACTTTACTTTGTACTCTCTATGTAACCCTGATGTGATGCAAAATAAAATTACTTGTCTAAGAAACATGATTTCTGATATTTGGAGATGCTGACATATATCTCCTAAATCTTTCTTTGGAAAAATGTTAAAATAGTATCTAATTTAGAAGTCTTTTATCATTTCACTTAGTATGCTAACAGAAGCGAGCTGACAAACACTAAAATACGAACAATGCTATCCCTCTTATAAGTACTTTCATAAGGCCACCCATGCTTGAATGGCTTTTTAGAGTGTCTCTGTCAGAATGGGGATTTATGTTCTCAGTCTTCTGAAGAGTTTGGTGTGCTTCTTGTCCTACTGTGGCTGGGAATTCATGTTTCATACATATTGCAATTGGTTCATGTGGGGGATATGGAGGCTATAAGAACTCAGATTTATTCCCATCAAATATAACTTTGATAGTCACATCATCTAATCAGTATATAAAAAATTTAGAGAATTTGGATTTTTCCACTGAACTTTCCACAGAAAATTAAATAGCCAAGAACTGTGTATTTTCATTTAGATTAAGAAGGGATAAAATTTGAATAGAACTCAAAGCCAAAGACATACTATATATTTCTTCTTTCGTCTCTAGGACAACATAAAACACCTCAATATACAATATTAGATAAATGCTCCAACTTTATAAACAACTTATTTTACATTTTTCTCTAATTCTGAATACAATTTGAGTGATTAGTGGAAAGTATATGCACACTGAGTCTATAATGCTACCTGAAAGAAGACACAGAATGGTAAATATCTCATGATTTATTTTATATGAGAAAGTATAATTTAAAGAGCAAAATAAAACAAATATGATAGAAAAAAGGATATCAGTTTTGTGGAGATGGTAAGGGGATCTAAAAATACAGAAAGACAAAAGGTAGGGAAAGTAAAAAAGATCAAGATAAAATATGCATATGCAGTCTATGGCCATACCACCCTGAACACATCTGATCTTGGAAGCTAAGCAGGGTCAGGCCTGGTTAGTACTTGGCTGGGAGATGATATGCATATGTACCAATATCTCATGATAAATGTATTCATTATGTATCACAGGCATATACATTTTTTGGTTTTTTGAGACAAGGACTCACTATTTGGTTCAGCCTGGCCTCGAATTCAGTATGTAGTCCAGGTTGGCATTGAACTCACAGAGATCTTCCTGCCTCAGCCTCCTGAGTTCTAGGATTATAGGCAGGCGCCACCACATGTGGCTATATTAAAACATTACAAGTTTCTTGAGTTCTTCTCACTAGACCTCCCTCACTGTCTCTACTAAGGGTCACCTTTATTTTGATTTACAACAGGAAAGATTAGTTTTGATTATTTTTAAAATTTTTATATAAATAAAATATGAGTTATGTCATTGTGTCTTGCATTTTGGACTCACCATTAATACTGTTCTGTTTATCCATATTTCTGCATGTGTTTAGATCATATATTCTCATTATTGTTTAATATTTTTGTATGACTCTACACCAATGTATTAATGTATCCTACCATTAATTAACATTTCAGCAATGGTCAGTTTGAAGTTTTAATGAAGATGGCATTATAAACATTCTGGTGTGTTATCCTGATGACCTTTATGTGCGCTTTTTGGTTATAAGTATACTTTGAATGGGACTGCCAAGTCATAGGGTAAGGGTATGGTTGTGCTTTAAAAGACTGCCAAACAACTTCCTAAAATATTTCCTACTAACATTGTGTGAGTTCCAGTTGTTCCCAGTCCTTGTCTTTTTTTTTAAATCTCTTTCATTTCCTTCAGTAGTTGTAGTTTGAATTTCTCTGTGGAATAATGAAGTCAAATATTGTTTCACATGAGCATTCTTTTATGGTGGAACGTCTGTTCAAGTAATTTGTCTAATTTTCTTACTAGATTTTTATTATGAATTTGTGTAGCTAATTTGGGTATTGTTAATAAAGTTATTGGTTGATATATGTGCTTCTGTGGCTCTAATTTGTTTTTCAGCTTTGTTTTAGAGCATGTTAAAAGTGTACTGTGGCATTTCATTTTAAAATTGACATAGATGTATGTGTTAAGTGTTCAGCAGGAAAGCGTTGACTACTTGACTGTGCTCCTTGATATTTTCATGTAACATGACACCAACCTTAAGGATGTGGACCACAAAGTGGCAAAGACTGAGAAGCAATATGCTATTCTTATCTCGTAGAAAACAGAGTGAATTTTATTTTATTTATTTATTTTTTTGGTACCAGGAATTGAAGTGAATTTTATATTTTTATTTAGTATGTATATTCTTTTCTGGAAGATTATATAGGAAACATTTTTCTTACTTAGATTCATATGTAGTCCACAATGGGAATTTTTCCAGAATTGTGAGATTACATTTAATGCAAATGTGAATTGCATAAATTAGGAATTAAGCAATATTAGAGGAGTGGCATTTTCACTTGAAAGTAATAAAATATTTTATTAAAAGACTCCGCACTCATAAATTTCAGAGCTTGTGATCTAATGAACCACAAACTCTGCTGTTACTTAGGTAGCTCTTTCACATTATCTGGCAAAGCAATAGTTTTTTGAAATTCTTTCTGGGTATATGTATTTGTGATGGCAGAATCTCAGAGATAAAATACTACCCCCACTTAACAATACGAGACCACTTCAAATCTCAAAACTTTGTGATTTAATTTTTTTAAGCACAATCTTTCTGAATATAGTACATGTTTCACTGCCTTCCTAAACTGAGTAGACTACACATAATTGTTCTATTCTTACTGAGACACATATTCACAATTTTTTGTCCACTTTTCTTACTTTCTGAACACCATATACACTTCTTCCTGGCCTACAGGTGTCATATCATATTAGAATCTGGATTAATAGGAGGCTGAATTCTAGTCCTGCTTTTGTCACAGGCATATTTTACAAACTTGATGATCATAAATTTCAGGGACTTCACTTTCTAGTGAAAACTGAAGGGTTGGGCTAGAGGAAGGACTCTATAGCTCTGTCTAATTCAGACACCTCTTCCAAGTATTGGACAAGCCTGCTGAATGTCACAAATGTCATGCTTAGAACAGTGGACCTCACCATAGATCCTGTGCGGGTACCAGAATACGCTTCATCACCTATCCTCAAAACATCAATCAGAACAATGAGCATTCAGAAATGAGTGAAAAATTGGAGATTATTATTTTTATTAATTACTGTATTTTCAAAGTACTGAGACCCCAAGTTCTTTATACTAGATGAAATTTCCATGAGGTTGCATGCTGCCAAAGGGAGCTGATGGCTGTTGGTCAGGTTTTGTCTCAGCATTCTCATCAGTAGTGCATTACAGTGCTAGCAACAGCTTTACTAAAATTTTCATGTATCCATCTTTTTTTTTTTTATTTTCTTGAGTTTGCATGCAAGATCCTGAGTTGTCTTCCTCCGTTGATCAATGTGAAATGAAAATATTTTATCCAAATATTTAATTTGACTTCTGTCTTTATGGTATCATTGTTAAACAGGTTTTCCTCATTTTAATGTAGATAAATTTACCAATTTTAGTGATATTTTTATTCTGGTTATATAAAGTTTTCCATACTTTGTATTATAATTTCTTGTCTTGAAAAACTTCGACAGACTTACTTTTCTAAATTTTATTCATAGTCCAGGTAGAATATTTTTGTCAATAAAATTATGTAAAAGTCCTGTTTCACATTGTTCATACAGATGAGAAGTTGTCCCAGCATTTATCTGTACTTCCTGTATACATTGCTTCAATATATATTTAGGAATATTTTAGGTTAACTGAATTATCTTATCTGTCTTAATTCACTTTCTTAATTACCAAGATTTCCTATTAAATGTTCATCTATGTATTCTAGTTGCTTCATCTTCTTTCTCTGGCACATCTTTGTTATTTGAAGCTCTTTATCCCTCAGAAATTGTAAAATCAGTATTTCACATTTATTTGAAAATTCATAGAGTTTTTTAAAAAAATGTTTTAAATCTATGCATCTATGTAAGAAACGTTGATTATATCCCATACATAAAACTCTACAGTCTTTCTTAACTATCTTATTATGCTGAATAAATTTTTTAGGTAATTTTATTTTTTTAAACTTATATAACCATACGTGTTAGTAAGCCATTATTTTCTTCATTTATAACCATTATATCATTCATAGATTTTCTTGTCTTTCTGTATTAGCTGCAATTTCAAATATAGTATTAAATAGAAATGTTGATAATGAGAAACCTTTCCTGTTTCTGGTTTTAAAGGTAATTTTCTAGATTTCACAATTAAGTATTGCCTCACAATTAAGTATGTTCTTCATGTTAAATCATTTATGACATTTGCCACATTGAGAAGTGAAAGACACCTCCCTTTCACCGACTTTACTATATACCTGCTGTGACAGTGCCTCATTTTATGCTCACACCAAACTTAAAACATTGGAGTCATTAACCATTTTCAGAAACTGATATTTTAAAAGATGTATAATTGCCCCTGGTGACAGCAGGTAGCCAAGTTGCAAACCTAAACTCAAATTCTGGCCCTCATTTCCCCCTTGTAAAACAGTAACATTTAAACATGTTGGCCTGCTGTACTGCATGCACTCTTTGCCCATCTGAACTGAACAAGGAAACAGACACCTGTACAGTGAACATTCTGACACAGAAAGTAGCTGAGATATTTCTTCTCTGTTTCCCTAAAAACCAGTATGGTAATTAACATATGGAAGGTACTCATCCAATATTCAGCATGTATGCATGGCAGAGACTGGGTTTTGAATACTGTGACTTTTTCTCAGAATGTGGTTGATTTGGCCTGAGTGCTTTCCTGGTCTTTGCTAATTATCTCCATACTCAGTCACTGTTCTAAAGGGGCTAATCCCTCTTGAATGTCCACAGGTGCACACTGTCTTAGTGCCGTGGCTTGTCTATCTCTTACATCAGTTTCCACCCCCAGAAAGTCAGATCATCTGGCATTGAGGAGGTGAAATCTTGATTTGAGCTTTGATTCCAGGTCATGAGTTAAATTATTAAATGATGATAATTCCAAAATTAAAACCTATTGCCTTGGAAAGGATAACATGCCTGCTTGTATAGGAAACCCCCAGCAGTCATAATGGTGATGTTGTATTACTAGTGGAACCATTTACGTTTCTCCAGGGCCAGTTACAATTCTATGCTTATTCTACAGCTTATCACATTCCAATTCCCACTCTTCCTGTCTTATTTTTCTTGGCACAGCACTGTCATTGCCTAGGAAGTCAAAGAAGCTTTTGGCTTACACTCTTCCTTTGGCTACACTTACTTCATCAGTGGGAGAAGATTGCTCTTTCCAAATAGCCACATTTCTGTTTGATCTGTCTCGCATCTGGAGGTGTCCACTTTGTTACTCCTAAATATAGTGAAGACAGAGACAGGAAGAAAATATAAGAAGACTTCATTTACATTCTGTCCCCACGGTGGTATGATAGAATTCTTATCAGTCTCATAAAAGCCAGCCCTACCATCTGCTTGGCAAGATCAGGGAATGAATTAACAATCCAGCTGACTTCATTAGACTTTCTGTCACTGCTTGCTTCATCCAGGAAGGAAAAAAATGAGCATACTCTGTAGATCTCTTTACTCCCAGATCTTATTTTTTTTAAATCTTTTTTCCCCTTACCAGATAATTTGTTATGGCCCCTCAGAGATGAAAATATTTGGCTCTTCATTGAGAAAGATCTTGGAATATAAATGTCTCACTGAAAATTAAAATAAGTCCTCAAGTTCGATGGAGAGAATGTTGCAAATATGTTGGAATCCATTGTTGTCAGGGGAGAGAAACCATCCAATATACATTTATGGTACCTGATTCATGCCCTGGAGATATGACTGAGCTCTTTTCTCTGAGCAGAGCTCTTAAAGTGATACTTAGAAATTAATACAATTTTCAAGAATGTCAGTTTTAGCCACTGTAGTCAATGGTGCAATAGCTGTGAGGTTTATTAAAAATATACTGTCACCTAAAGCATTCTGTAACT